CCTTTGGCAAAAAAATAATAATAATAAAAATAAACAAGCACCATGCATGTGCTTGGATTTAAGATTTTTGTTTTTGTTTTTTTTGGGTGAAGAAACGAAATTTTATTGAAAATACATCAAATGAAAATAGCACTATTTTACTATTTCAGTCAATTATGATATGTCATATGTGATAGCAAAACAATATTATCCCCGTATTTCATAGAAGTTTTGCTCGCACTTAAGAGACCCAGGTTCGGTTCACAAGATAACATGTTTGAGTGAGTTGGAACAATATTTCAATCTACATATTATTCACTGTACACACATTTTCACTTTGGTAGGAACTTACGCACGACACAGTGCACACCATAATTGCCCATAAATGCCTTGGAATCCTAGTTAGCATTTTTCCATTTAATACTTATATTATATATGTACGTATATATTTTTCAATAATACTTTCATTTTTTATACACGTTTTAAAGACTTGGTAAAATACACATTTTTTAAAAACAAACAGTCATGCCTCGGACCCAGGGGTTGATGAAAATCCTGCACTCGGTGCGTGAGAAAATAAATAAAAAAAAGCCGAAACATAGTTTAAAATAAACTTCTCTTATAAAAATAACTCTAAAATCTTACAATTTTACAATAAATAAATAAAGCTCTATTACTCTTATCTAATTCAACCTCAATTGGTTTAGTTCTTGTCTTGCCCACTAATTCATTTGAAAAATTAAACAGGGTGAGGAATGAGCAACCACTGCTCAGTAGGGACATGAGACCTTACCACAGTTGATTAATGTAACTAAATTAAGCGACATGCAATCACATAACATATAAAAGCTGCATGTCTCATACCATGCATTTTACCACAGTAATTCTAAATGACCCAATATATAAACTAACACCCATCTCAATCATCCCATAATTCCTCTTTTGCTAGTCATATTGTCTAAGCCATTGATCTCTAAGCCCAAATCACCCAATCGACAATTATACCATCGATATCCTATTTTACTGTGCACACAGACTAGCCTGAACTTGGTCCCTACAATGGCCAGACTCAACTACACAAAAGGCCCCTTCCCATTACCTCTTTTCCATAATTTCTGTAAGGATTATATTTTGGCTCTTCTCTTATGACAAAAACCGATGTATTTTACTATGGTATAAATATTGGTTTACGTCTGTTTGAATGAACATGCTAGATTCAAAAGTGTCATCTTTGCAATCCAAACTTAAATTCATTGCATACATTCACATGGGTTAATGCACAGGATTGATACAAGCCTTAAAATCGTTTTCTATTTCATTTTGTATCAATCCTTCCAAGTATGTTTTAATCCATCTTTCACTTTGCATTCATACACATGGATTGATATACGGAGATTGATACAACCTTTAAAAAACGTGTTCTACTATATTCTGTATCAATCCTACATATTCTATTTCAATCCACTTTGAGATGTATCAATTAATATTTTATTAAAATATCTTCAGCTCTTGATTTCATTCGATGAAGACTTCTTAAATTGCTTATGGTGTCAATTAACTTCTTGAAACTTGTTTTCAAAAGCAAGAGTCTTGGATGAAGTTACCCCGTGTTTATATGACCACAACATATTATTATAATATATTCTTTCTTTCTTGAAACTAGTTTTCTCCAAAAGAAGTCTTTATATTATCTTGCACATGAGCTACTTCTTTTATTGCTTGTGGAGTCAATACTCCATGCTTCAACCGACTCATTCTATTCTCTCCTTTAGGATTCTTGAAAACAACATATTATTATATAATATGTTCTTTCTTGAAACTAGTTTTCTCAAAGGGAGTATTTATTTTCTCTTTTGTGCACATGCCATATTTTCTCCACTCTTGCACATGTGTTCTGACAAAGCATGGGTTCTCTCTTTTCAATAGTTATAGCTCATGGCACGGCTATTTCCAATAGCATGTTATCCTCTTCATGACTGTATATGCAGATTGCATATACTTTATTATTTTATACCACTTGGACAGACCATGCTTAGCTTTATGTGTGTTGCTCCTTATTGGACAACAAATAGGTTGTTCATTCATACTGGTTTTCCAGTATCACTTCATAGGAATGGATTTGCTGCAGTCTTGCCCTTCATGATATTTTAGCCACCAAACAACATTCTTTATATTATATGTGGTTGGGTGAATGATTCCCTTTGATCAAAATATCCCCTCTTCATTCAAATCAAAGTCTCTATATATACTAAGCTAGACCTAATGAAGAGGTTGAGAAGTTCATTTGAACTTGCTTCATTTTTATCAATTCTTTGAAGAACCATTCATACTAGTACTGTAAAAACAGAAAATCTGCATCTTTGATGCAGACCCGGTTCTATGTTTTTGAAATCATTTTATATATGCTCTTGAGCATTCAAAAACTATTTTATTATTTTAGCAATTGTTAATTACTTGAGCGTATGAGTATGATTGCATACACATAAAATTCCTCCAAGTATATTCACATTGATTTCGACTGAGTCTTTTGTTTCATTGTTGTTATGTTGATTTAAACTATATGCTTCAAGTTCATTACTTCTAGTTTAATCATCACAACACTTGGTTTCATTTGTCTAGCTTAATCATTCTTTGTGATTAAGAAAGATGAAAATCTGAAACCACAACTCACTTCATATCATTATACTTTCTGCAACTTGGAGCTTCGTGCTGTTGCAAACCATGAAGATTTGTCTGTTGCAATTGGAGCTGAATGCTCATGCAAAGATTGGAAGAGAACTTGCTGTTGAGAAGTAAAGATTGTGCTTTTCTGGAAGGTTAGATAGTTAGCTGCCTATTGTGTGTAGATGAGCTAATATTGTGCTTTGCTAGAAGGTTAGATAGTTTGCTGCCTACTGAGTGTAGATGGAGCACAACTCCCTTTGTATCTTGTACTTCTCTTTGATAGTGGATTCCCTTACTGGCTTGGTCCCCCAGTTTTCCTCCTTGTTGGGTTTCTGGGTTAACAAATCTTTGTGTATGTTTATATTCTTGTTGTCATTAGTTGTACTTGCTGCATCTTGTTCAAATGACATCAGTACACTAACGTGGATCAATATGGTGTTGCACTGTATTGATCCAAAATCACAGGGGTTTCTGTTTGTATTTAATACATGGTGTGGTCTGTATCAATCCAGTTTCATGCAGTCAGTTCCGTTTACTCACTGCATATGCTAAGTAATTGAACACCATGGTTGTGCATGTGTTTATGTTTCCGCTTATTAATTCTTAGTTGGGCTTAAAATTTTAAAAGATAGGTTATTGCCATATAGCCTACTTCACCCCCCCCTTTTGTAGGCTTTTAGAGCCTAGGGCCTGTTTAACAATTTCTTTATCAACCCAAGAAATCCAGCCATCTCTGATAACATATGAACATGTCAATATTAATAAAATAATATAATGATAATTAAAAACATGCAAACACCCAATAAGAAGACCAACCAAACTGTAATACCATGCATAATATAATACTTACAAAATTTAATTAAATCAATCTCCATAAAGGCCCCTAAGAAACCTCATACCTTGATCATCACATCTCTCTCTCTCTCTCTCTCTCTCTCTCTCTCTCTAAAAGAACTATCACTTTGCATGGAGTGCATGCTATCTCTAAGTCATTGTAGTATTGTTGTACTTCACAAGACTATCTAGTATGTGTGTTTCAAAAGAACCATCAACGAGTCCTATTTATACTTCAAAGAGGCGGCAACTAATGGCTTTTGATTGGTCGAATGTGAGGCTGGTGATATGCTTCACTCCAAGATTATCTAATTTTCCCTTGATGCCAATAGCTCATGCTTGAAATGCAGCTCCTGCTTTAGCTATTTAGTCATTTATGGGCAGACACTTGTGAAGAAATTAGGATGATGCATGTGAGTAGGATTTGACGTACATACCACCTTAAGTGATAAAGCTTGTACGTGGCACCCTTACTAATCCAATTATTTATCAAACAAATAAGTATTATTATAATAGTATTATTCTTAATAACTATTATAAAAGTAACAACTATATATATATACTATGTGGCAAGATAACTACATATATACAATTATAACCAATTAAACATAATTTAACTTATAAACCTAAATAGATAGCAAAACATTTAATTTCCCAAAATATTAATATATATATATATATATTAAAATACAGGGCTTCACACAAATATATAATACACATATTATACACATACATACATATTTTCACATTTAATATACTTATTTTTTACAAAATTTACGTATTATACTTGTATTTTTAATATATTATTGAATAAAAATAATATATTTAAATATTTAATAAATTATATTAAAATATTATATAGTGGTTGAACTTTTTAGTTGTATCTTGCCAAAATTTTACCGTATAAAATACATACATATTTTATTCGTACTTTTCCCATTCTGTATTTTACCATATAAAACACATTATACGAATATTTTAGAAGATACACGTATTATACACATTCGTACTGTAAAACAAGTATTTAACATAAAACATTAGAGGATTCAACACTTCCATTTATTATTGTAACGAGAAATGTGTAGGGCTATTTTGGGACCCAATAATTAAAAGGAGTTTCACTAATACACCCAAAAATAGGGGCTGAAATTATAAAAAAACCCAACATGAAAAACACTTTATAAACACACCCAAAACCCATTTATTAAACACACTCAAAACCCATTTATAAACACACCCAAAAAATATACAATTGTTGATTTTTGAGTTGATTTTGAGTGTGTTTCTATGTTTTAAATAATGTTGGGTTTTTTTATAAATTCATATCTAGGATTGAGTTTATTTATAAATTTGTAATAATTAAATATACCAATTTTTTTTTTAATATTATAATATACCACTTCTTTATCAAAGAGAAACTTCATTAAATAATCTTGGACAATACAATGAAGACGTCAACATAGTTATGTATAGTTATGTATTGTTCGTTAGACATGCATCCAATTCAAAGCTTTCTATGTATGTATTCAAATACAGCCACTGCATGGTGTTCATTCATAGAATTATTGTTCACACTTCACACAAACAATATGAAAAGAAAAGGAACAAAAATCTTGATATTTTTTTCCTTGGTCAGGTTACCATCTGAAGCAAGTGTTCAGTCTTAAAAATTTGCTGGCAAAGCTCTTCAAAATCTGGAGGGAAACCAAAAGACAAACTCCCTGACACATGTACAGAACTCGTAAGCTATACCGGTACTTGACAAAACACCGTGAACACATACTGTCATGAGAATTCTTTCCTAATCTGAACGAATTTATGATTTTCTGAGATCACCAAAAGCCCTAACTTGCAGAAAATGCAGTCATTCGATAGTCATGGGAAGATCTATTTAGCTTTTGCCGAGCTTTTATCCTTCTCAGATGATGGATTAGACGAGAGAGGCTTGTCCCCGACAGAAGCAGCTGAAGTAACAGGTTTCTTAAGCTGAACCAAGATCATTGTCATGTTGTCACACCCCTCTCCACCAGGTGATGGTGCCAAGCACCTTTCAAACACTCTCTCACAAATCACTGAGAGTTTACTTTCCTACATACGAATATTTTATGTTACTCAGACAGTATATATTTGGATATATAAGGGAAGTCTCCCCAACTTACACGTTTTAATTGTTCCCGAACGTAGTCCACAAGTTGTTGGCTCGACATGCAGTCCCTAGAGAGCGTGCATCAGTGTCAACAAAGTAGGAACATATTAATTTCACTTATATTTCAGAAATATAAAATACAGCATTAGAAAAATCATACGACAGAGACACAAGTTCAACAATGTTGTCAGCCTTTTGACCTCCCAAACATGGGCTTTCTAAGAACCTAACAAGGAGTCAAAACTAAATGACACGAAGTAACAACTGGAAGAACAATACTTTGAGGAGCAGTTGAGATCTTGAAACCAATCAGGTAAAGAAGGTGGATAAAAAGCAAACACAGATAACAACTAAATTGTTGACAACATAGACAAACAAGAATATGAGAGCATTCGGGAATTGCCTTTGGTAAACAGTAAACCAAATGGCACTAAAAGAACGTACTCACCACGCCTTACTCCACCCATTCTCTCTCACACATATTTTCTCTTGCGCAAGCATTGGATGGATAATAAACAAAATTATTAACTTTTTTTTTTCCCATGGGAACAAATATTCGAAACAAAGTTACAGGGAAATCTTGACACAGAACCACATATGAATTTACGAGTGTATTCTTCAATAATATTTAGTTTTGGGCTTACTATCACATGATATACTGGAGTAACAGGTTCAACGGAGACAAGTTCAAATCAGCAGACCTTCACATCAAAGATTCTTCCCTTTAACTACATATATACAATTATAACCAATTAAACATAATTTAACTTATAAACCTAAATAGATAGCAAAACATTTAATTTCCCAAAATATTAATATATATATATATATATTAAAATACAGGGCTTCACACAAATATATAATACACATATTATACACATACATACATATTTTCACATTTAATATACTTATTTTTTACAAAATTTACGTATTATACTTGTATTTTTAATATATTATTGAATAAAAATAATATATTTAAATATTTAATAAATTATATTAAAATATTATATAGTGGTTGAACTTTTTAGTTGTATCTTGCCAAAATTTTACCGTATAAAATACATACATATTTTATTCGTACTTTTCCCATTCTGTATTTTACCATATAAAACACATTATACGAATATTTTAGAAGATACACGTATTATACACATTCGTACTGTAAAACAAGTATTTAACATAAAACATTAGAGGATTCAACACTTCCATTTATTATTGTAACGAGAAATGTGTAGGGCTATTTTGGGACCCAATAATTAAAAGGAGTTTCACTAATACACCCAAAAATAGGGGCTGAAATTATAAAAAAACCCAACATGAAAAACACTTTATAAACACACCCAAAACCCATTTATTAAACACACTCAAAACCCATTTATAAACACACCCAAAAAATATACAATTGTTGATTTTTGAGTTGATTTTGAGTGTGTTTCTATGTTTTAAATAATGTTGGGTTTTTTTATAAATTCATATCTAGGATTGAGTTTATTTATAAATTTGTAATAATTAAATATACCAATTTTTTTTTTAATATTATAATATACCACTTCTTTATCAAAGAGAAACTTCATTAAATAATCTTGGACAATACAATGAAGACGTCAACATAGTTATGTATAGTTATGTATTGTTCGTTAGACATGCATCCAATTCAAAGCTTTCTATGTATGTATTCAAATACAGCCACTGCATGGTGTTCATTCATAGAATTATTGTTCACACTTCACACAAACAATATGAAAAGAAAAGGAACAAAAATCTTGATATTTTTTTCCTTGGTCAGGTTACCATCTGAAGCAAGTGTTCAGTCTTAAAAATTTGCTGGCAAAGCTCTTCAAAATCTGGAGGGAAACCAAAAGACAAACTCCCTGACACATGTACAGAACTCGTAAGCTATACCGGTACTTGACAAAACACCGTGAACACATACTGTCATGAGAATTCTTTCCTAATCTGAACGAATTTATGATTTTCTGAGATCACCAAAAGCCCTAACTTGCAGAAAATGCAGTCATTCGATAGTCATGGGAAGATCTATTTAGCTTTTGCCGAGCTTTTATCCTTCTCAGATGATGGATTAGACGAGAGAGGCTTGTCCCCGACAGAAGCAGCTGAAGTAACAGGTTTCTTAAGCTGAACCAAGATCATTGTCATGTTGTCACACCCCTCTCCACCAGGTGATGGTGCCAAGCACCTTTCAAACACTCTCTCACAAATCACTGAGAGTTTACTTTCCTACATACGAATATTTTATGTTACTCAGACAGTATATATTTGGATATATAAGGGAAGTCTCCCCAACTTACACGTTTTAATTGTTCCCGAACGTAGTCCACAAGTTGTTGGCTCGACATGCAGTCCCTAGAGAGCGTGCATCAGTGTCAACAAAGTAGGAACATATTAATTTCACTTATATTTCAGAAATATAAAATACAGCATTAGAAAAATCATACGACAGAGACACAAGTTCAACAATGTTGTCAGCCTTTTGACCTCCCAAACATGGGCTTTCTAAGAACCTAACAAGGAGTCAAAACTAAATGACACGAAGTAACAACTGGAAGAACAATACTTTGAGGAGCAGTTGAGATCTTGAAACCAATCAGGTAAAGAAGGTGGATAAAAAGCAAACACAGATAACAACTAAATTGTTGACAACATAGACAAACAAGAATATGAGAGCATTCGGGAATTGCCTTTGGTAAACAGTAAACCAAATGGCACTAAAAGAACGTACTCACCACGCCTTACTCCACCCATTCTCTCTCACACATATTTTCTCTTGCGCAAGCATTGGATGGATAATAAACAAAATTATTAACTTTTTTTTTTCCCATGGGAACAAATATTCGAAACAAAGTTACAGGGAAATCTTGACACAGAACCACATATGAATTTACGAGTGTATTCTTCAATAATATTTAGTTTTGGGCTTACTATCACATGATATACTGGAGTAACAGGTTCAACGGAGACAAGTTCAAATCAGCAGACCTTCACATCAAAGATTCTTCCCTTAAAGGAAAACTTTTAAATCCGGATACAGAACACAGGAGATTCAACTTTGATTACTTTCCTCCGACATTTTGGAAAATAAGAAGCTAACAAGGTTACTTGTACATTTATAACCATAACTATATTGTTGCAGAGCTTGCAACACTTGTATATATACTAGTTAAAGCCAATTGTCATCAGACCATCAACTATATATTACTTCATTCTTACATTAACCAGTAATTGTTACATTCCATGCATTTACAGGCTTCTAAAGAGATGGTAATTGGTTCTTCCACAGGATGTATTTCTAGCTAACTGTTTAAGTAACAGCCATCTTAACTTGTGAGAAGAACCAACCACATAAAGCCCTTCCTTCCACCCTTCCAATTTTTCTAGTCTTACGCCTACAGCCTTTGGAGAACATATGAGTTGAAGATAAAATATACACAGTAATTGACAGACACCTATTTTTTGGGATAGGAAAGTGTATTAAAAAGGGAAACAAACTTACCATATCCCATCACAAGCTATGACGAGAAACTCATCATCATCACAAATCTCAACCTACATCAAGGGAAATTTTAAAACTTTAAACGTAAAATTAGTGCAACTGCAAACAAATCTGATAAATGGCATACCCCAATTGTTTATGCCAGCAAAAGTCTTATAAGGAAATAAAAAGTCAAAAACAGCACTTTCTTGCTTTAAAAGTACAAAAGTCTGACTAGCATCTTAATAATATAACTTCAATCCCCAGAAAAGGCTTTTCATCTTGGAAAAAAAGACTTAATTTTCTTTCTTGTAAGATTGGTTGTATTGCATTTATTTATGGTTAAAAAATTTCAGCCCAATTTATATCATTTAATTCCAAAATGAAATGTCTCATACACTAGTTACGTCTGGATTGGCAGTTACGATCTGCCTTTCAACGGGCAAATGTTTGTTCTGCTTGAATTCTACATCCCCTGCAAACAACATAATTTTAAACTACAGGCAATTCAAATATAAAAGAAAAGGAGGTTCTTTCTCGGTTTCTCCTTTCACATGGTAAGGAAATATTTTTGTACCAATAGCTCTGGCCAAGTTCAAACTTCCATTGACTCTTCCAACTTGGATGAATCCACCAGCCTTCAGAATTCTTTCTTTTTCATTCTCAATGTCAGGCTTATGATCTTTTGACAGATTATATGCCTGCATTTAAAATTTCAATAAGGCATCACAATAGCAGCTCATCAGACAAAAAACCTGTTAAAGATTAGCAGCTCAGCAAACAACACAATGGCAGAAAACCAATTGATATATTCCTAGAAACTGGCACAAAAGTTGAGGTCGGGCAGGTTGTCAATGCAAGATTCACTGAAATCAAAATCTCAGAAGATGAACATAACCATTCTTTTTGGCTGATATGGATGTAAAGGAACAGTTCAATTGGAGAGTGTGGGGACTTTTAATGAGATAAGGCTAGATTTTCGGTCCTTTCTATGGGCTTTGGCCTCTTCTGCATTCCATGATTGCCCTGATTGTGTTTGGGAGGCTTTGGTTTCTGTCGTGTGTTTTAAGGATGCTGTACACCTTCTTTTTGGGATAACTGCGATAATTTTTTTAACTTTTTTATGAAACTGAGATAATTTTTAAATGTGAACAAAGCTGCCCCAAAATGCAATCCTTACATAAAGTCCATAGGTAAAAATTGCATTAAAACAATATAATACCTGACCCTTCCTGGATATAACACAACGAGAATCACCAGCATTGGCAACAAGAAGTTGATTGTTTCGGATGATAGCAACACAAGCTGTGCTTCCAGAATTCGGTCCATCAAAATCAGAGTGAGGCCCCTGGTTTCAAGCCCAAAAGCTTTTCTTCATGAAAATCCGATTACATAGTAAAATATATCAAACAGAAATTAACTAATCAAATTCCCATAACATTCATTATAACATCAAAATAGATGCAGGACTGCTAGAAACCAAGTCTGATGCAAAACCTTAGATTCTTACTTTCTGAAACCAAAGCAATAGGAAATGTAAAGAGCCGTTCAATCTCTTCCACTTGCCCAATGGATCAGGAGGCAAGGGGAATCCATTGATTGAATTTATACCGATCATTTAGGCTGGTTTAAGAATCACGGTTGCAATGCTATGGTAAGCAAGGGAAATGAGTTATTTTATTTGTGTAAGGTGGCTGTGGAGGGGTTGAATTTTGGTAGGAAGTAAAAAAGAACTCATTCCTATGGGTCAAATATGTAAGTATTACATCACATGGAATATATACAAAGCAGGCAGAGAATATCTTTCACTGTTGTCCTAGACTTCCTTTTGTGAGATGCATCTGGTGATATGGATAACAAAGCAAATGGAAAACATAGTGCCATTGTTAAATGTAGCTGAAGTAAAGATGGTGTAACAAGTACCTCCTCAGAAGACCACTGATCAGTATGGTCATTAAATGCACCACTTTTAGCTTCAACACTCTTGGGAGAAAAAATGAACCCTTCTATAAGACCAGAAACTTTGTCTATCTTATCTCCCAGTACGGCTAATTCTCTCCAGCCTCTTTGCCCACGCATCATCTCATCCATCCTGCGTCAATTTGAAGCAAGGTAAGATAATAAGTATCTCATTCATAAGCACATCTATCTAAATCATCCCTTTGATACCCCTATACAGATTTATGCCACTAGTTTTGTTTCATCATAAATTGTATAACTTTGAAAACCAATTCAAAATGAAAGTCCACTGAGATGTTATAATTGGATTTGACAATACAATTTCTGTAAAGTTTCATAACATACTGTCCATGCCCTATAAAATGATAATTAAAGAAACGGCATGAGCATGTACGGCAGTGTGAAAATCTATTAAATGAATGGGCATTGATGCAGGTTTACTTATCTTAGGCGCATTAACACAATGCAGCAATGATAATGGCCGGCAGTGGTAGCAGAACAATGACCTAGTTTCAAGTTCCCAAGCTGTTTACAACATATGACTTACAGGAGAAAGACACCATTCTGCAGCCTTGTTCTTGGGCAAAATTGATAAGACAGATGCATCTGCTGAAAATTGCTAAATTGAAGATTACTAACACAAGGGATTAAGTAACCTGAGAAAAGCTTTCTGTAGAGAAGTGCCTAAATCGCCAGCTAGATATGCTTCGTCCTTGAGCACCTGTAGGTGGAGATACTTGGCGCAGAAATTTGCCACTGCTTTACCTGCAAATCAACAGACCAGTGATGACAAAACTTCACCAGATAGTACCAACCTATAAAACTTAAACATTAAGCATAAACTGCTCTAACTAACCACCCCCTTCCTTTCTGCTGAGGGCCAAAAGGTGGGAAGGAAAAGACAAACCACTAAAACCTTGGTAACTGCACAATCCAAGACATATGTAAAATAAAAATTCCAGAACTTTGAAGACTAGGCCCTATATGTCAACCTCATGCGTTAATATGGAAATTTGTGCACACATTGTTCCCGTATGTGGCATTATTTTCTTTTTGGTCATATTTTGGGCTGCACATCATGTGTAAAATCCATAAAATCTTCAATTGAAAACTATGCCACTCCCCCACCCACCCCTAGTGCTGATAAATACAACTCATCATACCAACAATCTAGCAATATACTTTGTTGGGCACATTAAAGTGGCCTTCATATTTCGTTCAGCTATTTCCCTTTTCCTACCATAATATGGCCACAGAACTTTTTTTTTTTTTCCATTAAATTAGTCTTTAGCTTCCAATCACACAATGCAATACCTACTGAATAACACAGGAAAGCCAACTGATTGGTAAAAAAATTTCACTAAATTAATTTAAATAATGATAGATTTTCAATTAAGATTGAGTAGACTTTGGAGGTTTTTCTGAAACACAAAATAAATGCCGATTGCAGGTCTGCAATCATGGTGAGTACAGCTAACTGTTTTGTCATGTGATAAAAGTTAAAACCAACCAAACTCCAAACCAGATCCCAGGGTGAGATTTTTGAAGTGAACAGAAGCAGAAGGTATAAAGGAAAGCTTAAAATAGAAATTGCAACTATCACAAGTTCTATAATAATTAGCATTGTCAACAGACCTTCTGCACCTATATGCACAAGAGTTTTGAAGTGACATAACTTTGTTTTATAAAAAGAATTTGCACTATAAGATGAAAACAATTCAATTAATAAACTCTTCAACGAAATTTTTTACATATTTTATTCTGCAAATATCCAAATTCAGCTCCATAAAACTCAAGATTATTCAGGCCTGGTTCCACCATATACGAGTCCTGTCCAGAAATACTTGGGCAGTCCAACACGCATATGAAAACCAACTATAAATGGAAGAAGTTTCTTAAAATGATAAGAAAGATAGAGTTAAATTTTAGAGCTTGGAAACCTAACCTCCATGACCATCATAAACAGCAAAGAAAGATGTTGAACCGTCAAAATCTGGAATAGCGGCATGCTGCAATAAAAGTGAAAAGTTAAGTACTTTTAGTGTATGATAGGCAAGATAGTACATGATCTATGGCAAGATTACTATACTAAAATACTTTTAGTGCACTTTCTGTATTACATATTCAATATGTGTCCATTCTCAGGAAAACCAATTCAACAAGATGATAATTACCTTCATCTAGGACTTCTGTAGTGACAAACCAAATGCTATGAAGTAATAATGCTAAGTATGGCAATTGCATGTGAAATGCAAAGCTCACTATGAAAATACAAAGACCAAACAACAAGAACTACTCAGCTGCACTCTCCGAGCATCATCTAAGTGAATAAGAAGAACGACATAAAGACTTACAGCATCTTCCATGGTTGAACGCCACCCTTGCATGGAGGATGACCCGTATCGAAGTTTGTCATTCTCACCATCTTCTGAGACCTTATCAGTTTTGGGAGCACTGAGATATATTCCCATTTGCAGCTGCAACCATATCATCAAACAATGCAGTCATTTTGAAATCCACATGCATGGGTGCGCTCGTGTGCACACACATACATTTCTTTCTTAATTTTCATCATGCCAACACACACACACACACACACACACACATTTCTTTCTTAATTTTCATCATGCCAATATATTACATATCCCCTGCCCATTTGAGTCTAATCACACACTTGCGCACAAGGAATTGCAGCATTCAAAACTTTCTTAATTTGCCCGTGGCATTTCATATACATATAGTCTAGTTTTAGAAGGAATTCACCTACACCACATCACTAAGAACAATAAATGCACGGATGACCACATTAATTAATCAATGGATCCCTTATTTGCTACTCAGAACTCATCAAAACTACCCAATCAATTCAATTTCCATAAAAGCCTACCACATTTATTCCACTAATTTCAAATCTACCATATCCAAACCGCCATAACTAAACTACAATTTTCAACTCCAAACATGCCGCAGAATTCAAAACATGCCCATTCGAGTCCACTTGGTAGCCAACAAAACAGAGGAAAAACTGCCCATAAAATCGAGATTTACTCAATCATAAACACTGGAATTTCTACAACTGGAAGCATACAATTTCCTGCGTTGTCTTGGAAACCAAACGGACCAAACAATAAAAATTACTCAAGATAGTAAAATTATATAAATCAGATTCGAGGCTCACAAGCACAATGACGATGAGCTGAGTGAGAAAATGCTGGCAATAATTATTATTAATTATTTAGAAACAAGAAATTAAGAAAATTCAATGGCTCTAGGGATTGCAGTAAACTCACTAATTGGTTTGAGCGTGTCTGATGGAAGCGCGAGAGAGATCTGATTGAATTGAAGAAATGATTTTGATGAGATTGAGTGGATTCGATATATGTATGTGTATATATAGGCATTGGTTTTCTTTTTGAGTGAAACCAGTGGGCGGACACGCGCCATTCATCTGAGGCAACAATTGGTCATTTCAGTTGCAAGGAAAACCAAGAAAAATTAAACTAAACAAATTTGTTTCCTTTTTATTACCCACCATTTGAATTAAATTTTAAATTTTAAAAAAAATAAATGAAACCAATCAATTACTCGCAATTATAACACGTGTATTTATTCATATTATTATATATATTCCACCACATTAGTGTAATTATACTACAATGTTGATATGGTGTGAATCTAGAATAAAATATTAATGAATAAATACACGTGTTATAATGTAAAAGTCGCATAAAAGAAAATCTCACTGGTCACAAGTTCTTATAAAAGATAAATTTATGTTACCAATTTTTTCAATGCACAAAATTAGAACATTGGGCTTGTAATTGCAATGGAATTCATTTTCATATTCACATAACGGTGAACGCATAAGTGCCCGATGATAAATGATTTTTTAAAAAAATTTGGGAAACCCAACCCGTTTGGTAAACTATGAGAAAATCACTTATTGTTAAAAATTGATGTGAGAGAAAGCTATAAGAGAAAACAGCTAATAAGGTGCTTTCATTTTTTAATTATATGGGAATCCGTACCAACAACACTTTTAACAAAAAAGTTACCAAACGCCAAACTGCTTTCTCTCACAGCAAATCTAGCAGCAATTATTTTCACAGCACAACAATGCCAAACTGGCCCTAAGTCTATAAAAATCATTATGAATTTATTTTGGTTGGAGTAGAAATTGCATGGCACAAGAATTTCGTACATATGTTTTGGGGCTTGTTTGGTTTGAAGAATGGATGTTTGAAAAATGTGATTTACATATTAGAGTGGAAAATGTTTGGAAATACTACTAGCAATATATGGTTACTATGAAAGAACATTTGTTCCCATTCCAATATTTTGTGCAATAAGACCCTAAATACTTTCAAACATTCATTTTGCAAACCAAACAAGTCCCTAAACATACGCGCAATGATAAGTCATTTTTCCCTTAGATTTGAACAAAAATGTAACACATTATGACGGCAATGCCAACACTGCGAGAGAAAGTAAAATTAAAGGAATACATGAGCCATTTTTCAAATTTGAGGATCAAAATAAAAATCGGACATAAGTTCCAAAGATTATTGCTCCTAAAAATCTTTTTTTTTTTCAAATTTATTACATGCCCATTTTTGAAATCCATTTTGAGCCCCAAAATTCTCAGGGCCAACCCCTTGATTGTTCCATTCTTGACACTTGATTCGATCGATATCCAGAACCCTAATCCTTGTTCCATTGACCTATCATTTTTTTCCTTGGCAATCCAAAATGAAGCCAGAACAGCATCTGCCAAGTTTAAATTTCTAATGAACTGCGCAGGTTTGTTCAACCATAATCATAATGCAACAGCTAGGAAAATTTAGTGTAAAGCTTTATCGGCAAGGTCCTAGCTGACACTATCTAGGTTTAAAATAAAAGAATTAATTCAATCTCCAAATATTCCAATTGTACAATTGATTTCTCTTTCCTACTAGTTGCTCTCTTTTCCTGGAACTACGACTTTTACAGTAACAAATTTACTAACAACTTACGTTCACAATAAGATGGTGTGCTCCAAGAAAGTTGACAATTGGAACGAGGAAAAGTTTTATCAGTTTGAGAATGGTGTCTTATTTCCAGGATGATGTGCTTGAACGGCTCCTTTGGCTATCATATCCAGATTGTGGTCCACTCATGGCATCCTAAAGAGAAGGCCAAACAAGAAAATCAAATGTGAGTTTTAGGAAAACATGAAAACAAAGAAGCAAAACGCAAACCAATTACAAAAGATGTGAAGATTTAGAGGTAAGTCTAGCATGAACATTTTGGGATGTTATGCAGTTCCTTGCAACTTACTTGTATTGAGGTATTCGAGCGTTGTCTCGGGGAGAATACTCCACCAGCACCATGCATGACACAATTCAAGATCTCGTCTGTAAGTGCTCTCAATCTGTTAAGTTCAGGTAGCACAACCTTGGCGAGATCCGGTCTGTCTTTTCGCCTCATTTCAGCGCACTGTAAACACAGCTTGGCAAACTTCAAGGCTTCCTCAACAGGCCAATCAGGGACTGCAGGGTCAAGCATCTCAGCGAAAGTCCCCATCTCAATAGCCCGTTCGACATGATGTGTCAACCCCATTGGTGGCTTGGCTGTTATTAGCTGTAGAAGCATGACCCCAAGTGAGTAAATATCAGATTTTGTTCCAAGCATGCCAGTTTGCTGATACTCTGGGTCGATGTAGCAAAATGTTCCGGCCGTTGATGTCATGTGATACTGAGTGACAGAGTCGGCTACTGATGGAGGTACAAGCCTAGCCAAACCTACATCACTGATCTTGCTCACATAGTTATGGTCTAGCAAGATATTGCCGGGTTTTAGGTCGCGGTGTACAAGGGGTTCTGGCTTGGCTTGATGAAGAAACAAAAGCCCTGTCGCAATTTCTGCAGCAATTCGGAACCTTAGCTGCCAAGGAATAACTGGGGTGTTACCGCGCCGGAACAGACAATCGTCCAAGCTCCCATTAGCCATGTACTCATAGACCAAGCAACCATACTCTGGGCAAGCTCCAAGGAGGAGAACCATGTTTGGATGCCGTATGCAGCTCAATACTTCAACCTGCATAGCTAAAAACTGTCAGATATATAATCCACAACAATACATGATCAATAAAATTAAATGCCAAGCAATATTAATAAAATAATCCTTGGATTTATAATTGGTTTTGTTTGCAAACAATATGGTCCCCATTCTGGAAACAAATTGGTTATGTTGTTTAGGGTGTTGTATATTTGAAGATGGTAGTTAAAAGTTTTATAATATTCCATGTCACAAACCTCCTGGTTGAACTGCGACTTTCCTTGAGCTGCATCTGGACGTAGAACTTTTATTGCCACTGGCGTGTGGTCCAGTTCACCTCTGTAAACTGGCCCATAGCCTCCTTCCCCGATCTTGCGAGCTTGCGAGAAATCATTCGTTGCCTTCTCAATCTCCTCAATTGTGTATTTCCTGTACCTGGGATCATATGCCCTCGATTGGAGTGCCTTCTTCTTCTCTTCGGATTCTTTAAAGGCTTTCATTTCTGCAGCCCTCCGTTTGTGTGCTTCCAATTCAGCAATCCTATGAGATACTTCGGCTGCCTCGATGGCTGCCTTACATTTGGCTTTCTCCCTCTCTACAAGCGCCAATGCAGCTTCCTCAGCATGTCTTGCCGCTTCTAACCTTTGTTCATCTTCCAATTTCCACCGGTTAAGTTCCCTTTCCTGTGATGATTTTGTCATTAGAATAATATGTGATTAAATAGTGTTCAAAACCCCAGGTTTCTATTTATTAAATTGAATTTCTCTTTATGCTATGTGTATGGTTGCAGGACCTGTAGGTTTGTCATTCACCTCTTGCTCTCAAGAAGATGACACCGAAACTTAAATTCTACCCCTCAAATAAGGTTTCGCATCAGATACCTTGTGTTTTGCTGTCAGTGCTTCCTTGCAGGCCATACTGTACATCTCCATTGTTTGCTTGAGCTCTAGCTTGAGCCTCCTCATCTCAGCTTCCACATCATCCTATATTGTTGCCAAAGCAAAACAAGTATCAATACGATGAACTATATTAGGAATTTTATTTATTTTTTTGAGAAAAAAAGTTTATAGTTGGTGGTGTGCTTGCAAGTTACAAGTTTCCCATGCTGGGAAATTATCTTACCATGTTCTGTGATGGTGACGATGATTTTCCACTTTCGATCGAGCACGATGAGATTTCGTATTGTGGAGACCCCATATCAAAAAGCCTGTTTCTTGAGTATGACGATGTGGAGCTTCTGCTCTCCATTTCCGACCCAATTGAA